CCCCCCCCACCCCTGTGCGGCTGGTGGGTGGGGCGGGAGCCGCGTTTGAGGCGAAGCAGAGGGTGCGGTGAGGGCGGCCGGTGACTCAGGGGCGCTGGCAGCGCCTGGCATCGTCCCCTCCCAGAGCGTGGGGAGAGCCTAAAATGTCCCCATCCTGGATGTTCCCCAACCCGCGGGTCCCCGGGGAGGGGAGGGCACAGGCTGCAGCACGGCACACCGGGGGGCTGCTGCGGAGAGATGCTCCGCGCCCCGGTCCTGCCCATCGCCCCTTTTTCTCCTGACTCACGGGGTGAAAGCGGGAGCCGCCCCGAGGACTCCCCTCACCCCCAGATCCCGGAGGCGGAGGTGTTTGTCAGCGCCAGCCCCAATTTGGGGGCGCAGAGGTGTATGGATACAGCCCTCTGGCACCTCCATCCCCGAGCGAGAAGCCCCCCCGGGAGGGTCCCCAGTGGCCCTCTCCCGTGGGCAAGCGGTGGCTGTGGTGCTGTGGCCACCGGCTCCCTCCTGCGAAACAGGAACCGAGCCCTCGTTAGCAGCACAGCTGATGAGCGATGGCTTCCTGAATTGCAGCCCCTAACCCAATTAAGCCGGTTCCTTGGCAGCGCCTCTTCCTCCTCGGGCCTAGATCTCATCTCTGGCCCTAATGAGGAAAAATGTCCTGTTTTCCAAAGGTGGTTGGTTGCGGGAAGCAGCGGTGGGGGTGGGAGGTGGTCCAAGGGCAGAGCGAAGGCGGTGGCGGCGGCAGCAGCGAGGGGGCCGGGGGAATGGGGGGAACCCCACAGCCCTTCCCCATCCCAGGCGGGTTTTGCCCCCCTGCGATGACTTTCCAGGAAGGAGCAGGTAAATGGGACCCGTTTACTGGAGAGAAGAAAAAAAAATAATATATATATAAATAAATAAAAATAAAGCCTCCCCGCCGCGGGGCTGGGTGCTGCCTCCGTGCCGCCTTTAGCAGCAATGTGCTTGCGCTGGAACATTTTGCGTGGGGGAGAAACCTCAGGC